GTATTCTTTCGTCAAACAGTTGTGGAGATAGTTATACCAGATGATAGTGTATTTCCTCACAGCAACCCTCAATTATGGTGCTTGCACAAACTAATTGGATCTTATCATCGGAGTAAATCAGTTTTTTGATTTTCTTGCAAGAGGAGATTTTATGACACACCTCATAGGTTGTGTGAGAGAAAGATTGATATGGTATACAAGTTGAAAAAGGTCTTGTATGGCCTCAAATAGGCACATAGGGCTTGATATTCAATAATTGATACTCATCTCATCAATAATAGCTTCAAAAGAAGTGAAAGTGAGGCTACTTTATATGTGAAAGACATTGAAAGCGGAAAACAACTTGTGGTTTTGATCTGTGTTGTTGATATACTTGTGGTTGGTAATGATCCTTATTTAATTCATGAATTCAAACATGTTATGACTAAGGAATTTGAGATGTTTGATTTGGGGGGAATGTGTCACTTCTTTGGAATGGATATTAAACAAGTTGATTCAATCTTCATTTCGCAAAAGAAATATGCTTCGGGTGAACTTAAAAATTTCAAGATGGAAAATTGAAAATCAATAGCAACTTTATTTGTTGTAAATGAGAAGCTTTCGGAAGAAGAAAAAGAAGCATAAAACGTTGATGCTAGAGTATAGAGAAGTCTGATTGGCAATTACTTTACTTGACAACAACAAAGCCAGATATCATGTACTCAGCAAGCTTGCTATCTCGATTCATGCATTTCCCAAATCATAAGCATATAAATGCAATTAAAAGGGTGTTAAGGTACTTGAGAAGGACAATCAATTGTGAAATTCTTTTTTCAAAGGTTGAGAGTAGGGAGTTAATTAGCTTTTTAGATAATGACTGGGCTAGGAGTGTTAATGAATCTTAAAACACCCTAGGTTTTACATTTTTTTTATTCTAGTATGTTTATTTGGAGTTCAAAGAAGCAGGAGGTTGTAGCTCAGCCCACAATATAGGCTGGATATATTGCAGCTGCTAAAGTAACCAATCATGCAATTTGGTTGAGAAAATTTTTGCAGGAACTTGGCACTTTAGATGCTTATATTGGTAATAGATTTGAATGCAATTCATTATTTAAGTGTTAAATATGATCCAAATTTTACCATATCAAAATGCTTCTTTGATGCATTTTAGTAAAGCAAAATCTGCTAAACATTGGACCGAAGAACCTGACACCATCACGAAATGAAACTGAGAAAAATGTGGGAAGAAGATGGTAATGAAAATGAAAGGATAAGTGAGGATCATTAGATCAACAATGGTGAAGAGGGCAACTTCAATTTTTTTTTTTCTTTTAACATTACCAAAAATAAAGGGCGTGTCACTAGAGCTCCAGCCCTTATTCTCAATATGGAGAGACAACGTATAACCATTCATCACTAAAGTAATGAAACCTAAGCTTCAACTATGTACATTAAAGAACAGGACGAGGTGATCTCAGTCAAGGTGAAGTCGTTTTGGCAATCAGAATATAAATTGACAAAAATTACAAGAAGAAATGGTGAGGAGATGAAAATAAGTCGTTATATGCATCATTCATCCTTCATCGCAAGTTCGTGTCTCTTTTTCTGCCCGACTTCCACAAGTAATGTCAAAAGCGCTTCACACACTTGAGCAGCATCAGCTTCAGAAGGATTATCATTTAATGACGAATAAACCATCCAACTATGGTCTAGTTTACGTTTTGGCCGCACAACAACAGATGCCGGCACTTCTGCATCACGACGTGTGACCAGTCCATCACTCTTTTCTCCATACCTGACCTGAAGTAATTGAGCACATGTAGCCATTGCAGCAGCAACGGGTATGATGACTGGAAGTTTTGCAGGCTGACCTGCTGAAAGAGGAGACACTAATGGCAGCTCGGCGTGAGCAACATGAGATAAGGTGGCCAAAACAGCAGGACTGATGCTAGCTTCTGTGTGGAACGAAACAACAGGAAGTTCTCTCGGTAAATGGTGTTTCTTCAAGAATTCCTTTCTCCTCTCGTAGGTCAAGTCTTCCAGAGCTTGCATGTCGCCCTTCACATTAGCAATGCATAATTCAATAAGTAGCGAAAAATAATTCATCTATGAATATTTTGTAATTACTCCAATAACATTCACCTGTTAAATTAGCACTAATTACAAAATAGACAAATAAACATAATAATGCTTCTGCGATTATAAAAACTTCCTGTTCTTAAATTTCAATATGACATGGCAGGAACTAATTTCAGAGACCAACCAAACTCAGGATCCACGGACTGAAAGCATATCCCAATCAACCAGGGTTAGCTATAGATTGTTTCCACTGATTACATTATCCAGCAATATTTTCTGTGAAGGAATTAAGAGAGTTGTGCTGATTGCGTGGAGCACGAATTGGCAATGTAACAGATAAAATCAAACCCATTGCCAACAGCCATGACTGCAAATACAAATATGAAGTACAAAAGTCAAAAGCCTCCAGAAATACCTTAATGACTTTACAGATCAGAATTTCCATAAGCTTCCTTAGATTTACATAATCACCAAGTTGTCCCTCCCGTAAAATATCTGAAGCTATAGGGCTTCCACCATAGGGACTCTGAGCCAGTGCCAACCCAGCAACCTTATCTTTCAAGTCAGACCAATACAACGATAACGCAGCTGCTGCATCTACACCCCCTTTGCTATGTCCTAGAAGCAAAACACGTTTCTGGGAACCCCAATAAATTTCCTCAATATACTCCTTTATCTCTCTTGCATTTTTCTCAACTGAAGCCTGATTAATGATTGTTCACAGTTCAGTACTCAATCAATAAAACAACATTAAATGAAATAGAGATTACAATAAATACCTCACTGTGAATCTTGGCAATATGACAGGCCAGACCCATCTTTGAGAAACTCATTTTTGTGCTTACAAAATAAAGAGGTCCGTGATTGCTGAAAAGACCTGCCATATTTGACAATATCAGAATGCAATCAGTTTACAGTCTTTAACTAAGCCAACAAATCAGTCAATTCACACGATGCATAGACAGAGATCTCTAGTTCTGCCATTCACATGATGCATAGACAAGATTGTAAAGTTCAACATTTTAAAAAGGTCGAATCATGGATGGAAAGTCAATGTAGATTTGACACTGCTCTGTATTCTTGATTGAATATTTACTCCAGAAAGTTTTATATATAATTTTGATATGTCAAACAATAAGTTCCCAGACCTAATTCAAGTCTGTTTGGATTTGCCAAGACTGTCTTAAGCATTTACAATATAATTATTCAAGTTCCACAAGAAACTTCAACTAATGCTGCCATGTGAGAAAAATGGAAATAGGTATGAATATTAGTGTTAGGAATATGTTGGTAATAATCTTATATTTTAGTTATTCGGAATGCTACCTTGATGCAACAGTTACTAAATATTAACTCTTATTAATTAGGTGGTATCTATTTATGATTGATAGGATCAAATGAAAATAAGGAAACAGAAAAAACAAAACAAGGTGTCAAAATATAGCTAAGGTAGAATGCTATTTGATCTTTAATTCCAAAATCAGCTAATATTGCGCAAAAAAGCCTAAATAATATAAAAACACGCAAAATCACTAGATTACATATTGTTAGAGTCTAAATATTTTCTAATACTAATAAGATCCTGTTTAGCTTATTCTACAATTGCATCAACATATTTCCCAGCAGTCCTTGAAAAACCACCCATTTTATGCACTCAGTCCTCTCTGTTTTCATGATAGGAAATTAAAGTCTCCTTTCAGTGATTTAAATTCCAAGAACTGAAAATTAAATGATGCAGCAAATACTTGTGACCATAGTTAAACTGAAACCCAAAACCTCATCTTCCTCAAAGAAAAAGAATGTCCAGAACCTCATCCATCATCAGATATTCTTAACAAAATTTCTCAAAAACAAAAATTCCTAATAAAAGCTTGTGCGAGAGCTCACACTAAAACTAATCCATGTCATTACGCTGTACAACTGAAAGCTACTAAGAAGGGAATTCTAAAAAATATAGCTATCCAAGAAAAATAGCATACTTGTACAAGAAAAAAAAAAAAAAAAAAATCTTGCCAAATAAATGTTAATACACCTTGGACATCTCAAGAGGTTACAAAACATCTGCAATGCACTCAAAAACAATGTCCTGAGACAAGACCAAAAAGAGGAGATCATTCCTTTTTACACAACATCTTAGGAAGGAACAGTTGCTACCTGGAACCAACAAATAAACGACAGAGTTTGGAAGCTTGTGTAGACCATGCCTGAGAGAAAGAACGGCCCAACAGAGTCAACAATTTGCAAAGCACGGTTGGCCGATATAGGCACATAAAATGGAAAGTTTTTTTACCTGATGTTATCAAGAATTTCTATGAATTTTTCTGTTCCATCTTCAACAGGAGGCATCTCTGGATCCTGCTGTAACCATCCTATATCATCTGCAGAACCACGAAGAGTCCTCCGTGCTCGTTCAACAAGTCTGAAAGCAATAATAACATCATGGTTTAGCCCATCTGAGGAGCTTTAACCAAAGAAAAGATGCATGCCCAAGCAAGCACAGGGAGCACATTCCCAGAGAGAGCAAAAGGAGAAGTTATAAGATAATAAGGCTACAGATTTTTTTTTGGCATAAATATAAGGGTACAAATAAAGAGTATTTGCTCTTTTAAACTAAATTTTCAAAAAAGTGCAAGTCATTGATATGAAAAATTATCATTTGACTTCCTTCCCACTGGAAAGAAATGCCAAATAAGAAGTGAATATTAGAAAAAAGCAGGACACAAGTTTTCCAGTAGAACAGGTTATGATGGTTAATCATATATGCATTTCTACAATTTACTTTATCCTGAAAGATTAGCATATTTTGCAGACAGGGAAAAAGTACCCCTGAAAAAGGAAAATCCCATTCTGCACAGTACGACTTGATTCTACAAGTGCATTTGTACTTTGAGACTGATCTCCAGAGGCACTTCTTAGTCTATAGGAAGCAACAGTGGTAGAAGAAGATGATTCAGACGCCAGAAGTCTTTCACTGGAAGAAAGATCACTAACAGCACATTCCTCAGCTTCTCGTGAAGAAAGTGTAACCAATTCCTGTGCATGACTTGCTGAATCCTCAGATTCTCTAGCAGCACGTTCCACTGGAAAAAGTTGAAAACAACTGTAACCTAAGATATCCAACTATGGGTATCATGAAAAGCATTTGAAAATATGAAGGCAAAGCATGGAAAATTAAATAAATTAGTTGTTGCTAAGTGAAATATCTCATACATTAGTCATTAGCAAGGGAAATACATCCAATGCATTACTTATTGGAAAGAGAAAATCACTTCACATCCTTATAGAGTTCTAATTGATCATTCAAAACGGATATGCATGAAATCTTTGATGATATTTCTCATGTAAGCAATAGAAAATTTAACCAAGATCCATGAGAACTAAGTACAATATTTAGAAAATAACATATCAAAATTTATATAAAAGTTTACATCAAAATCACCATCTTTCCTGGATACATAAAAAATATGAAAAACCACGCAAGAAGAAGCACAGTAGATAGAGCCTACCAGAATAATCAGAGAAACATCCAGTTATTAATGATGCTGCCTGTGAAAGATAAGAAGCAGCTTCATTGAGAGCTGGCAAAGAGTTAAATAGCTCAGGTGTGATCCCATCATTCCTCAAACCACTGTTTTGCGCCTGACAAAATGAAAAAGCTGTTATTGAAGTCAAAGCAAAATTAGAAATGACAAGCATGAGTTCTTACATTAATGAGTATCCATATCATGTGCTAGTTCCAATGAATTGCAAGAAAAAAAGCAAGATAAAATGCTGGTGAATTTCTGACTGATCCCTTGAACCAAGTAATCTTACATAAAAACATCTTCACATCCAAAAGACTCAAAACTTTCAACTCTTCTACATGTCAACTGACAGATGGCTCAAAAACCCTACTCTTCAGTTATTCTTACCCCTGAACTTCCTTTTCCCACCTTCTCCAATCTTCATGCTACCTTTTCAAGTGAGGTTCTCATAAACTCTTATCACAATATCAAAAACTTCTCACTTGAGGACACCATAAAAGAAAACAGTTTGGGAATTCATTACCCCGGAAGAGAAGTGGTCATGGATTTATAATAAAGCAGCACCTCATCCTGAACTAAATCTTGTTTTAAAACACATTTTTTAATTTTTATCTTATTTTCTGGCTTCTTTTACTATATTACTCTATATTATATTATCTATGGAATGTTATTTTTTTGTAAAATTTGTTAATGTCTTTTTATTACTTCATTATTTTGTGAAAATATTTTTACTAAGAAATATTATGTTGATTTTCTAATATTTCTATTTAATTTTATGAAGTAAATAACTTTTTTGTGAAAACAATTAAGTTACTTTGAAATTTGAAAAACTTTTGACAAGTGTGGTGCGAAGAAAGAATTGACAAAAAATTATGTCCATTTGACTAACACTGCTATTACTATCACTTGTTCAAATATAATTATTCCAAGTATGAATCTTCCCACCAAACAACATAATATGTAATCGAGAATGTCTATAATGTTAATTACATTAGAGCTTACTACAATGATTACATCCTGCCAAGACACTACATTTGAATAAATATTAGTAAAGGAAATAACAGAAAATGGAACCAAAAGTAAAACAACTTGATGATTTTTAATGAAGAGAAAGGAGACATTTATTTTTTCATTTCTCTAAAAAACTAAAAACTAGAAAAAAGGGAATCATATGATTGTTGCTAATCCTTTCTTTAGTTTAGGTCTATAAAAGAAAGGAAATGATTGTCTATAAAATAAATTAGAAGTCCTTTTATATAACTGTTAAATAGGATATCTTATTATTTTATTATTTAATTAGTTTATTATTTAATTAGACAAAATGATGTAATTAGAATTATATTAAAATAAAAATTTCCTTATCAATTTGTTAAAAATTCTATAAATAGTTCAGGTATAACAATATAAAGGGTAAGAAAATAAAATATACATTTTTTCTCTAAAATCAATATAATATTAGAGTCAAATAAAACTATTTTAGGGTTTTAATTTAAGAATTTCCTTCAAATTCTAAAATAGTATAATAGGCTGAGTTGGTACTAACTTATCCAAATCTACTCTCATCATCACCCCAGATAGGTGTCGTATACTCACCAACAGCCTTTCTTTGACACCCTAGCCGCCAGAAACACAAGCACATAAGCCGCACGCACCGCTGCCGATTGCCACGTGCTGCCACGATTTAATTGGGAATCATCATAGAGACTGCTGGCGGGTTCATATTCGACACGGATCTGGTGAAAATCGTGCCGTAACCACTCAGATTTGGTTTTTCCACAGCTTGGCCGCCGCAGATCTTTTTTTCCGGCACATGTACTCTCTCTTCAATTCTCCGGCTGCACTACGCACAAATAGGCCTTCTTTGCATTCAAGTCGCTCCGACTAGCCTTCTCTTGTCCTTTTCCGGCTCCTCTGCGCACGTTCGCCTTTGGTTTCACAATCCGGCACCGATCTAGCTTCCTTAGCGAGCGAGCCGCTTCAATCGCCTTTTCTGGTCCTTTTTCCTACTCTTCCATGTGCAAGTCGCCTCTGGTTTCGCAATATCGGCGCTTAACCGGCTTCTCCACGCATGAGTCGCTCGGACCGGCCTTCTCTAGTCCTTTTTCCGGTTCTTCTACGCACAACCACCTATGGTTTTGTGATACTAGCACTTATTCGGCTTCTTCACGTGTGAGCCGCCTCGACCTGCCTTCTTTGATTCTTTTTCTAACTCCTCTGCGCACGTTTGCCTCTAGTTTTGCGGTACCAATGCCGATCTGGTTCCTCCACACACAAACTCCTCTACCAGCCTTTTCTAGTCCTTTTCCAACTACTCTGTGTGCGACTTTATGTTTATATCATGTGTTTTCTAGTGATCAAGTGGTAGATATCTTCATTAAAGGAGCTTCTAACAAATTTCTTCAGAACTTGATCTGTAAGTTGGGTATATGTGATATCTTTGTACCAACTTGAGAGAGAGTAATGACTATAATATTTTATTATTTTATTAGTTTATTATTTTATTAATTAAGATGATATAATTAGAGTTTTACTAAAATATAAATTTTCTTATTAATAGATTAAAAATTCTATAAATACCTCATATATAACAACATAAACGGTGAGAAAAAAAAATATATTTTTCCTCCAAAATCAACAATGACAAACTTCTATAATATGGCAAACTTAATAATTATCAAAATTACTGTTAAAATACAATTTTTGTTTTTTTTTTCTTCTCAAGATACCCAAAAATTGATCTAAAAAAGAGCATATATGAAATATTGAAGAAAACTAGAGAATTTTGTTCAAAAGTTAATAGAAAGCTTGAAAAACCGTGACTAGACAAGTGTGACTAACTAAACATTTCCCACAATTTCAATCAAGATTCTTCACTTTTCTATAAGATTTATGTGTTTTATCTTTAACCAAAGCTCTTTGTGTATCTCTTGATTAAAAGAATATCAATTCGTACTTTAATAACGATTTTAACATTTCAAATAAATACTATTTTTTGGAGCTCTATTCTAGAAGGCTTTAGGAGGATATCTTTTTGAGAAGCGTATTACTCAAGTAAAAAAAAAAAGTTCTAGGAAAATATCTTTTTATCTATAATTATAAGTACATTATTATCATTTTAACAATATTTCTTTTTCTATTAAAAAATTATAATGATTTTAACATCTATAATTAGTCTAATGGACTGCATCACAATGTTTGCTTAAAACATAATGATTGGACTGTAATTTTTCAAACTAATAAATCCATTAGTAATTAGACCCAAAATCTATGGACCCTTGTATCTACCTCAATTGTAAAAAAAAAATAATAATTATAGTCTTTACTAATAAAATGGCAAGATAAATACCTTGTAATAGACTAAATAATTTTATAATTTAAAGCTTTTAACTTTTTTTTCCTAATTTCCTCTCAATTTTTGACAATTTTAGAGAGTGCGGGAAATTAATTTATCAGAAAAAAAAATTAGTTTGTTCGCCATTTTTATCAAAGCAAGTAATGAAATAGTGGGAATCTATTATTTCCCTTTTTCCCCCATCACTTCCCCCAATCCAAATATAATATAAGATTTTAGACAATGAAATATAATAATGTTAAATATATTATTACTTTGTCAACTAAACAATGGAAATGAGAACACAATCTTTTCATTATTTGAATAAAAGTGGACTGAGAGAGAACATAGAGTCATTAAGTTAGAAAGACAAAAGAAATCATTGAGAATAATTATGCAATGATGAAAAAGAAAAAAAAAAAACTTTAATTACATGCACTCTACCAATTTTAGAAGAATTTTACTTCCTTTACTTCCATCCCCTCGCCCTCTCCCTCTCCCAAAAATAGCATTAAAAATTAAGGTATGTGCTTGATATCACACAATTTCGCCTAATAATCGGAATAAAATGGAAATAACAGTGATCTCTTCATAAACATTCTAGAAAGATATCTTGCTCCATTGAATTTTTAATTCTAATGTTAAAATACAAAGCAACTATAGATAGAGCACATTCAGAGATTAACACAATGCAAAAGCTGAGAAGTTGTTGGACTTGCAGATTAGGGGAAAGAAAAAAATGTAAGATACAAAACTTACAACCAGTGGCATGCGTGACTCTCCATCTCTTGTATTTCCAGATTCCCTCATCGAGATTGATTTCTGACCACCAGAAACAAAAACTTAAAAAGAGTGTTTTATTGGATTTAAAACTTTTAATGCAACAATGTAATTAACTTTGTGATACATTGTGACTTAATGTCATTGTTCATGTTTGACTATATAAACGTAGTTTAATTACATAAAATTATTTGAGTATAAAAAAAAAAAGAAATCATGCAACATAATCACATTTACATTGCTATACCTAAAAAGCTTAGAAACTCTTTCAGATGCCTGAATTGCTCATAAACACCTAAAAATTCCCTTGAATGCCTGGAATGCCTAAAAACATCCCTGGGTAGTTAGAAACACCCCTGGTACCTAGAAACACCCTCGAGCATCCAGAATGCACATAAACTCCCCTGGTCCCTGGAATAACCAAATTATACGTTGGCTATCCAGAATACTCATAAGCACCTCCAGTACTTAGAATGATCAGAATATTCCCATGTACATGAACTAGAATGCTAGAAAAGGAAGCACTAGATATCAAAATACTCAAGGACATTTTTGGTATATAGTAAAAAACCTAAATTACATACAAGTCTAGAAACATTGTTCATACAAAAGCAAACCAGCCTTCTCACATACTATCAAAAATCCAACTGTGAAGGCACCTTGTACGAACTAACCCTGTCTACCAAACCCAACTAGATAATGGCCAGAGGCAACCAGAAACAATCATGATTCAAAACAAATCCAACAGTAACTTCTCACCAAGAGAGTATCATCCCTAACCATCCTAAATTGAAAAACATGGAAATAAAATCCAAGAGAAAATTGTTACTGCTTAATCCTCCAAAAGAACCCCATAAAAACAAAAACCACTACTCTTACCATATTGAACCAAAATCCAGCAACTAAACTCAAGAATCAGGCATTGGGTAATAAATAGCCATTAGCTAATCTCTAAACAACTAGAATTTCCCCCAAACCGAGATGGACTTCTTGCAGTCGGATAAAAAGAGTTGTGTTGGGTAGTAAATTGTTGAAAATTTCAGCACTAAATCAACACGAAACAGAAGAGTGGGAAAGTTGGTTCGCTTTCAAATTCACTCCTCGGAGGACAAAGGATTTGAGCAAAGAAAAGTGCAGCCCAACCTTCAGTTTAGCAAGATAAGATGCAATTGGCGGCATCTGGAGTTGCACAAATGATGCTACCAACCAAACATTATATGATGTGAGTACCTGGATAAGAAGGGGAAAAGATGCTCAGATATCAATGCCATCAACTGCTCTTGTCATGATCCAGCTATAGTAAATTATGTCGTGCTAGGGTTAAGGCAAGACTCTCTGAAAAATATAATAATTGTAGAATTATTTTAAGTATTTTTCTCTTTTTTACAACCTGACAATATAACAAAATGGTTACTAACAGGTTATGCCTTTTTTCCCTTCCACTAGGGAAGTTTGTTAATTTTTGCTCTTTTTCCTCCTTCTTTTGCCTATAAAATGTTGCTGATTATCGATGAATAAATGTAGAGAAGAAAGGAGAGTTATTTCTTATTCTCAAATTTTCATGGTATCAGAGCAAGTCTGATTTAAATTCTTCAACATCTCTCTTGCATTCAATAGGCAATGGATGAGCAGACCCTTCTTCGCCCGAAGTTTTTTTGGTCTCTCACCTTCCGGTGCCTGACAACCATGCTCTTGCTAGTCAGACTCCATCTTTCGTTACTGGCTATCGACTAAATGACAGTAACTATCTTCAATGGTCGTCCTCGGTGTTGATGTTCATCCGAGGGAAATGCCGAGATGAATACCTCACTGGAGAGCTCTCACCTCCTCCCGCGAACGATCCAAATGCTCGGATATGGAAAGTTGAGAACAATCTTATTATATCTTAGTTGGTGAACTCAATGATTACTAAGATTGGCAAAAATTTTCTCCTTTATGAGACTGCGCACGATATCTGGGTCGCAGCTCGTGAGTTCTATTCCACTCGCGACAACACTTCTGTCATCTTTGAAATAGAAGCAAACCTTCACGACCTACGCCAAGAGAAAAAACTGTAACTCAATATTACAATTTTCTTACTCGATGAGAAAAAAATTTTCTTACAAGAGAAAATTTTTTTCTCTTTTATGAGACTGCGCACGATATCTGGGTCGCAGCTCGTGAGTTCTATTCCACTCGCGACAACACTTCTGTCATCTTTGAAATAGAAGCAAATCTTCACGACCTACGCCAAGAGAAAAAACTGTAACTCAATATTACAACTTGATGTTTTTGAGGAACATGCTTGGAGCTACCCAGAGGATGCCAGGAGATTCCGAAGCATCGTGGAACAGAGACAAATCTTCAAGTTCCTTTTCGAATTGAACAAAAAGCTCGACGAGATAAGAGGACGCATCCTTAGAACCAAACCTCTCCCGAACATTAGAGGTGTTCTCTGAGGTGCAATGCGAAGAAAGCAGGAAGAAAGTGATGATGGGTGACTCGCAACTCAACCCTAACCCTGCTGAAAACATATCTCTCTCACCCGAGACTGGTACTGTTCTCACAAGTCGAGTGACTGAGCGAAATGGACGGTCATGGTGTGAATACTGTAAAAGGTTGGGACACGTTCGTAGAAAGTGCTGGAAGCTTCACGGGAAACCAGCTGAGAAGGAATCGGCTGAGAAGAAGAAAACACCAAAGCAGAAAATGGAGGAAATTCATCGAGGCAATTTTGTCTCAACAAAAGAGAAATCTGCTGCAGCCATTTCTACCGAAAGCTCCTTATTTAGTCCTGAACAAATCAGCATCCTCTAAAAAATGTTTTCACCCAATATGGTTCTCAGTAATGCTTCTACAGCTCACAAAGGTAATTTTTCTAGTTTTTCAACTTATTCCACAAAAAGGAGAATATGCATTATTAATTCAGGTGCTTCTGATCATATGACTAGGGATATCTCATTATTCAAGGAATATAGTAAGTGCAGAAGTAAATTCTCAATTCAAATTGTTGATGGCTCTAGCTCCCAGGTCGAAGAAATAGGAATAATTGCACTGACACCCGAGTTAATTTTGTACTCTGTGCTGTATGTTCCAAATTTGGATTGCAATCTCCTGTCAGTAAGTAAATTATCACAGGACTTGAATTGTGTGGCTACATTTAATTGTAAACTGTGTGAATTTCAGGACTTGAACTCGGGGAAGATGATTGACAATGCTAGTATGGATTCGGGTCTTTATCTACTGCAAACTGACAACTCTTCTCTTAATAGACAAACTCATCATGCAGTATGTACTAATTCTGAATCTGTAAACAACTTAAATATAGAATGCCCTATCATATTATGACATTACCGTTTAGGACATTCTAACTTCGTGTACTTGAAAAAGCTATTTCCTGATTTGTTTTGAAATGAAAATCAAACTTTCTTTCAATGCGAAGTATGTCAGCTGTCCAAACATATTCGAAATTCATTTTCCAGTTCAGTTTACAAACCCACAAAACATTTTTCATTAATTCATAGTGATGTATAAGGTCCTTCTCGGGTCACTAATATTATCGGGACAAAACAGTTTATATCTTTTGTTGATGATCACACTACAATTATTTGAAATTTTCTCATGAAAGAAAAATATGAAGTTAACCAAATTTTCAAAAAATTTCACATTATGATTCAAAATCAATTTTACACCAACATCTAAGTAGTGAGGTCAGACAATGGATGTGAATACTTTGAAACCACTTTGAGCCAATATTTTTCTGACCACGACATTATCCATCAAAGTTCCTGTATTAATACTCCACAACAAAATGGTATAACTGAACGAAAAAATAGACACATTCTTGAAATAGCTTGATCCATCATGTTCACTACCCACATTCCAAAATTTCTTTGGGAAGAGGCTGTTCTCACCGCTGCATACTTGATAAACCGCATGCCCTCCCGAACTCTCTCATTTCGAACACTCTACGGTATCTTCCTCAGGATCTTTCCGCAATCTCATATTTTTCATACCCTTCCCTATAAAGTTTTTGGTTATTCCGCCTATATTTATGTTCATACTCATTTCAGGGGCAAACTTGACCCACGGGCCATTAAATGTGTTTTTGTTGGATATTCACCAAATAAAAAAGGATATAAATGTTTTTGTCCCAAGACCCGTCGTTTCTACAACACTATGGATGTTACTTTTTTTAAAAACCAGTCATTCTATCCCACTACTGATATTCAGGGGGAGAGTCCTAAGAAGAAATATCAAGTATGGGATATAAATACACCACTTCTCACCTTTTCTCCCCCCACTATTCCCGAGAACTCATCAAATTTTCTTGAAACCAGTATCAAAGAGTTTGAACCTGAACTTATATCTACTACTATCAATAAAGAGTTACGTGCCTATACTAGTAAACACAAAACTCCAGTTAATAAAGAAACCAACTATACATTACCATGAGTCTATTCCAGTTCTAAGCATAAAGAACACATCAGGTAATGAGTTTTCAGGCACAATTTCTGACACAGTTACCACTACTGATCATGATACTGAGTTACCTATTGGTTTGCAGAAAGGAACTCGATCTTGTACTAAACACTCTATACAGGATTATATTTCATTCAGCAACTTGTCTTCAAAGTATCATGCATACGTAAGCAAACTTGATGGCAGCCCCACTGAACCTAAAACCATTCATAAAGCCCTTACATTGCCAATGTGGAGAGGTGCTATTCAAGAAGAGATTAGAGCCCTTGAAAAAAACAAGAATTGGGAACTGACAGAACTTCCACTGGGAAAACATAAAGTTGGGTGCAAATGAGTATTTACTGTAAAACACAATCCTGATGGAAGTGTGAATCAGTACAAAACTCATCTAGTAGCTAAAGGCTTCATTTAGTTCTACGGGATAGACTATCAGGAAACATTCGCCCCAGTGGCTAAGCACAACACTATTCGGATATTACTCTCTCTTGCCTCTAATCTTAATTAGCCTCTCTGTCAACTTGATGTAAAAAATGCATTTCTCAATGGAGATTTAAAAGAAGAGATATATATGGAAGTTCCTCCAAGCCTTGAGACCACATATGAAACTTACAAGGTATGCAAACTCAAAAAGGCACTCTATGAACTAAAACAATCTTCGAGAGCTGGGTTTGACAGATTTACCAAAGTAGTTAAAACATATGAGCTACGAGCAATGTCAGTCTGATCATACTTTGTTTGTCAAGAACAGTGCCTCTGATAAGAAAGCTATCCTAATTGTCTATGTTGATGATATTATTTTAACAGGTGATAACATAAAAGAAATTCAAAAACTCAAAAGTTTTCTTACTACGGAATTTGAGATAAAAGATCTTAGAGCACTCAGGTATTTTTTAGGAATGGAATTTGCTCGTTCTAAAAAGGGGATATCTGTGTCACAACGGAAATATATTCTTGACCTGCTGAAAGAAACAGGGATGCTCGGGTGTAAACCAGCAGAAACTCCCATGGAAACAACTACAAAAGTTGGATTTAAAAATGACAAGTCAGTTGATAAAGAAAGATATCAGAGACTTGTGGGCAAACTTATCTATCTTGCTCATACTAGACCTGACATCAGTTTCACTGTAAGTACTGCAAGTCAATTCATGAACCAATCTACTGATATTCATATGAATATGGTATATCGGATCTTAAGATACCTTAAGAAAACTCCAGAACAAGTACTATTTTTCCAAAAAACAATGAACTGGAATATTGAAATCTACACAGATTCTAATTAGACGGGTTCTATAACTGACAGAAAATCTACGTCTGGGTACTGTACTTACATTTGGGGAAACTTAGTCACTAGGCGGAACAAGAAATAATTTGTTGTGTCACGAAGTAGTGCAGAAGTTGAATTTCGGTCACTTGCTCATGGAATATGTGAGGGAATTTGGTTAAAAAGAATTCTAATGGAAATGAAATTCTTGGTTACTACTCCAATGAAAGTATGGTGCGACAATAAAGCAACAATCAGCATACCTAAAAATTCTGTATATCATGATCGAACTAAACACGTGGAAATAGATAAGCACTTCATCAGGGAGAAGATTGAAGATCAAACCATTACAATACTCCACGTTCCTACTAATCAGCAAATTGCAGATATTTTAACAAAGGTACTTCCCAAAGGACTCTTCAACAAATTAATATCCAATTTAAACTTACTAAATATTTATGTAACCTAAATTGAGGAAGAGTGTAGAATTATTTTCAGTATTTTCTTTTTTCTATTTTTTACAACCAGACAATATAACAAAATGGTTACTGGCAGGTTGTGCCTTTTGTTCCTTCCACTAGGGAAGTTTGTTAGTTTTTTGTCTTTTTCCTTCTTCCTTTGCCTATAAAATGTTGCTGATTATCGATGAATAAATGTAGAGAAAAAAGGAGAGTTATTTCTTATTCTCAAATTCTTCAATAATATTTCATAAAGAATGACTGTAAGATGCTAATTCTGTTGGAAAAGGGATCAAATGCATTATAATGCATTGGTCAAACAATACAAAAATTAGGTTCAAAATGATATAGGATAGGAAAGTAGAAAATACCTAATCTATGAAGTAGACTAATTAATTAATTTCCAATTTGCATGCATTTATTTGTGTCCTAAATAAGTGAAGTGTGTATGACCTTGACTTTTATAGTTAAATTGACTAAGATCATATATATTACCATTACTACAATCCAAGTTGAGAAAAAGACGGGGCCAAATATAACCAAGACTAGAACCATAAAAGAAGAGATGAAAATGCATTTCATCTTCGCTCTTCAAGGCTTCATTCTTTATATAACTCTCATGCATAGCTAATTTGTTCATGCTATTACCTATCACATGTTAACTCAAACCATAGGGCAAAAGATGTCAAAACAGCAAAAACAATGTATAAAGCAATTTACTTCTCAACCTAAAAGAGCAAGGTCCAAGAAGCACACCCCGAATAACCTACTATGTAATCTAATAGAGAAAATTCAGAGAATGGCATACCAAGCTAAGAGCATTCCTCTTAGCTAGAAAAAGGTCAACTAATAAAACATGCTTCTTTATGACCATAATCCCTCTTCTTTTCATAGGCGTTTTGTGTTCCTCCAACCTGAATCCAATCACACATAACAACCCTCTAAAGAAGAGTTATCGTACCCACTGGATAAAACTCTAGCCTGAAAACAACACCTTGATTTTTGTCACTCACTTAATCCTGACCATTTCCATTCAAAGTCATGTATCCATGTTCAAAGACAGGTAACCAAACGTTCCACCTACCATTCTCAACCTGGAGTCCAAAAGCTCTTCAGGAATTGCTCAAGCAGCAGAATCTAGCCCCAAAATTTAATGAAATGCCCATAGATTGTGCAAGTTATCCATCAATATACGTCTAAAAAAAATTACACTAAGCCAGATCATCCGTGGCGCAAGCAAAGTTCTCCCACGCATTTATTCAAAGAGATTATCGACCTGTATACTCGAAACAGTAAAATTGTTTACCAGTTTCCGTTTCATACTAAGAAAGGCAATCTCCGAAATCATAAATCCAAAAGACTACATACTGCCTTGATACCAGAGGAACAAACAGAAAATAAACAGCCTCTCCGCTAAAAGATCAATATATGGGTAAAAGATTATAATACCAAATGAGACAAATATTGTCGACAAGAATCTGCAAAGAAAATTCCCTCTGTCCTTAGAAGCTATCTATAGTTCAGTTCCTCTAGCCCTCTCCCTCCGCCTTCAGCCTTCTCTGATTTCGTCTTGAGCCGTGCCGGGGGCCTCTTCTCCTTTCCTCTAATTCCGCACAAGAAGCAGACGAGCCATGGTATAGATGATTCGGTCGGTTTCGATAACTGGATTTATTTTTGTTTCAAATATGTATATTACATATTTGAATTATTTCAAAAAAATATTTAAATTGAAAAATACAAGTAAATTAAAATTTAACATTCTTTTTGGCAAAAATTTTAATTTTTATCTAAAAATTTATGTAAAAAGTGCTACATATATGTATTGTCATACATAATTTATATGTAAAAAATGGCCTAAAATAATTTTACGTCATTATAATAGCATTTTTAGAAAGCTAACCAAATTTTAATTTATAATTTTTTGTTTTACAAATTAAAAAATATCTCTAACCTATAATCAAGTGTGTATAAAATAATAAAAATAATTGAAGGAAAAATATAGTTTTATGTAAAGTTTATATTTTAATTAGTATAAAGTATAAATGAATAAATTTTAAGCAAAAAAAATCTACCAATTTTAGAATTACTTTGTTATAAAATTATTACTTTTTAGATTTTGATATAATACCGTTATAAGCTATATCTTCACTAAATTGGTAAATAAACTTGTACAAAAATATTAGTTAAATAAATACCTTCTAAATATATGTTATGAACTTGCGGGTTTGGATAAACTACATAGTTAATAAATAAGTTATCTTACCTCAACAATTATTTTTAAATTTTTTATAGCCAATTAAATTTAATATGAAAAATGAGTGTTAATGATAATAACTAAAACTAGTTTAATATTTAAATTATATTGAATTATTCTAAGTAATCATTTCAAGATTTTATGAGCAATATCCTTTATATCTTAGAGTATGATGGTTTTCATTCTTTGTTTTGAATTTTATAAAATAATTAAGAATAAAATTACACTTATTTTGTTATAAGAAAATACATGAGTCAAATTCTATAAAAATAATAATAATAATTGTATCAACTTATACTGTATCAAAGATGTTATAAAATATATAATCTATAAGTCAAATTCACCTAAATATATATATTATACTCCCTTAATAGTTATTCTTAGATTTTTGTAGGTAATTAAATTTTGATATGAAAAATGAGTGTTAATGATAATAAATTAAATGAGTTTAATATCTAACTCACGCTGAATTATTTAAAGTAATTTATGAAGAATATTATTTATATTTTTTTCATTTTTTACATATTTAGGGTAAAAAAGAATTAAAGTATGATGTTTATCATTCTTTACTTTGAACTTTGTAAAATAATTAAGAACAAAATTATACTAATTTTATTATAAAAAAACCAATGAGACAAATAACTTATAAAAATAATTATATTAAATTATATTTTAAGAAAGATGTTATAAATTATATAATTTATAAATCAAATACCTTCGAAATGTATGTTTCAAACTTGCGGGCTTGGATAGACTACATGGCTAATGAACAAGTTATATTCCCTCAAATGTTATTCTTAAATTTTTTTTATAGGTAATTAAATTTTGATATGAAAAATAAGTGCTAATGATAATAATTAAAATGAGATTAATATTGAATTATTCCAAGTAATTTTCTCAAAATTTTATGAAAAATATCCTTTATATTTTTTTATTTATTAATAAATTTTGAGATTGAAAAGAATTGAAATATGATAGTTATTGAAAATAATTAGAATATGATTGTTATCATTCTTTACTTTAAACTTCGTAAAATAATCAAGTATTATCATTCTTTACTTTAAACTTTATAAAATAATCAATTAGTTATCATTCTTTACTTTGAATTTTGAAAAATAATCAATTAGTTATCATTCTTTACTTTGAATTTTGAAAAATAATCAACTATAAAACTACGTTTATTTTGTCACGAGAAAACCCGAGTCATGAAAATTTCATGTAAAGATCTAGAATTTAAAAGAAAATAAAGACATGAATTGAATGCGGAAGTAGAATAATAAAATTAAAATTTACATTTTTTACACAATAGTTTAAAATACCCAATAGGATTACGGGAATATCTCTTCTAAAAAAATAAATGAAAATAAAAAAATAAATAAAAATTAAACAATTGAGTATCTTAGAACAACCTTCACTACCTTTTGAAGGAGTCCGGATGGTGAACTATTCACAACTCTCTTGTTGATCGGGATTTAGGTATTGGTTCTCTTGATCTGAAATAGTTAATGAAATGGTGAGCTACACTAGTCTAGTAAGAATATCACACTACTTCCCGATATAAAAACTGAAGGTTGGTAAAAATCATAAAAATAACTAATGGAGCTCTTAATTTAAACAAATTCATTTATCATAAGAAAAACCATTTATTGCATGTATTTACCGTTGCGAGATTTCCAAAATCGACCTATAAAGACAATAACTCAAATAACATTCCAATCTTATATTCAAGTTAGTAAGAACAATAACTTTCTCTTTTTATTTGCCTACTGGTATCCCTAAGGGGACATAAGAATGTCTCACTATGCGTGAACCAATATTCAACATTGTCTACTAACCGGTTGTCCCTATACTTTGTCCGATATGAGCACCAAAAATATCATCCCTCAATACTTTGTTCGGTATGAGGATGAATCGGACCGTTCTCATACCTTATTCAATATGAGCGCTAAAAATATCAATCCTCAATACTCTGCCCGTTATGAGACAATGTTCACAGTAGGGTTCCCTATGTACCTAATCTGTTCACTATCTCTCAGGATATCCAGTAAGACTCTCATTCATTAATTTACATGACCAATCAATTTTTCGTTTGCATATTAATTACCAATTTCACAATCAACTATAAATCATGCAAGACAAGCAATATATATATCAAAGAAGTACAATTGAATCAATTAACCATTCCAGAATATCATCATGTATTTAAATTTATAAATTTAACCATAAATTAAACAAGACAACAAATAAATGACTAACCAGTTTCCGACTCTATTGGTAACTTGTAATTATTCTCAAAATTTTCTAAATTACCCAAAATATCATATTACCAATTATTAAGCTTTAATTCTATAATAGGGAATAAGGTGATGAATTCTTACCTGAATCAGTGTTCGAAATATCAAACTTTCAGCTGCGCCTACTGGCGATTCTCAAGTTTCCTGAATTTTTCTACAGAGATTAAAACACATTTCATGTACTTAAAAATACCCTAAAAAACTCAAAATCGGTGTTAAAAATCTTTTTTAGCAAATTTTAGAATTCCAGCACGGTAGCACCGACGCCCGCGGCGGCAGTTTGCCTCGGCTTGGTCGTTTTCGACACGTTTTAGCCGATTTTGGTTGATTTTATACCAATCCCTGCAAGAAAACATGTTAGGGGAGTCTCGATTGGTTGAAAAAAGTCAAAAAACAAAAATCTACCAACAGCGGAATTTTTCAATGCGGCGGCTCAGCTGACTCACCTTCGCAGCTAAGCGTTTTTTCTTCGATCAAACTGTAGAAAATAGAACGATGAATAAAATGGTGAAAAAATTACATGAAACGAAAAACGAGAAGGGGCTCATCGGAGGCGATTTCGAGTTTTGCCCGTGGCAGCACTCCGGGTTTACCCGTTATTTTTGGCTCATCCGCCGTTCTTTTTGCTCCGATTTAACTATGGGGGTGTTTAGAATCAAATTCTGAGTAGATAAGAGAATTTTTACTTTTTTTGATCGTCGGAGGTGGTTCCAGTGCAGCGGTAGGCGGCAGTTGGTCCCCTTCTCTGATGACTGGCTCTTCTTCTCCGGTTGGGGGTTGCTAGCTAGGGTTTGGGTTCGGTATGATGCTGATATTTATATCTATCTCTCTTAAATATGGACTGTTCATTACATTTAGTCTCGACCGTTTGATCATGTTTAAAAAGAAAATGAATTTGAACAGTTCATCGTCATTTGATCTCGACCGTACGATTGCATTTAAAGAATGAACAAATCTGAACTGTTCATCGCATTTAATCACGACCGTTCGATCGCGCTTGAGGAGGGAACAGATCTGGACCGTCCACGCACGCAAGAATGCTTCCGGACTGTCCGATCGCAGACATGCGGATTGCCAACATGGCCTCCCGCGTGGCACCGAGTCAACGTGCTTTACCACGCGGCGCGCTCTAGTTTATCGAGGCTGCTGACTAGGTGGTCTTACGTAGTGTAAATTTCTTTAATTATATTTTGACCCTAGTTTTCGATTTTTCTTTCAAAAATATCATCCAAACTCAAATGTTCACTCATTTTTCTCAAAATTATTTTTAATTTCATCCTCAACCTATGTTTTTTCTAATTTTACATTAAATAAAATTTATAAATTTAAAAATTATATTTTTATACATTTTTTTAAACTTTAAAATTAATCTCATGTCAAATTCCGGACTCAGGTATTACATTTCACTTTTTTCCTTTCTTTTTCTTTTATTTTCTCTTCATTTTTAGCTCCTTCTCTTTTTTTTTTATTTTTTTCTTCCTTTTTTGTTTAGCTTCTTTCTTGTTTTTTTCAATTTTTCTTTGATGATGTCCTTTATCATAACGAATATTTAACCCAAATGGTTTGCTTTATCTTGACATTACTTTAAGACATTTGTATTTTCGCATAATGAGATTCTGATATGTATTTTGTTTATTTACCTTTCCCTAATAAGATTTTAATGTGCACTTTATTGTTGTTTTTTTTTTCTTAACGAGATTTAAAAACATATTTTATTGTTATATATTATTCTAATGAGATTTTAAGACACATTTTGTTGTTCCACATTTTTTAAAAAAAGATTTTAAGATACAATGATCCACAGTTTGTTGATGTTAGACCTACATTAGCATATATACGTTTCATCACTTCCATGTCAATAATTTTTATAAC